CAAGAGATTTATAGGGACTTAAACTCTATTGAATTAAATTAAACTCTATGCAAATAATGAGCAAACGTTTGTGGACGGACCTCATTGCAAGGGGCATGGATAACTGGCATTCGTTCGTGTTTAGAAATCAAAGCCGTCAGCAATCCGTTTCCATCCGTTGGCTTTACGAGGATATCTTACATTTCCATTTATACACCAAGGGATAATAAAGAGTGAGTTTTTCACTCTAAGGGATGTCGGTTGACTTTTAACGAGGAGTAATTGATTGATTGACAGCAATGGCTGTTTGCTTGTGAGAGCCCGCTCCTCTTAAAAAGTGCTTGGCTAATCGTAGCGACAATCCCTCTCCCTAAAAAGATGACAGTACGGTATAACAAACATACAAATAATAACGATTATAATAGTAAGAATGCTATAATAATGTTAACAATAGCCATATAACAGATATCAATAATAACAATTGTATAATATTAAAAAAAACAACAAAACAAATAACGATAAAAATGCATAATGGAAGGAAATAAACGCATCAATGTCAGCATGATTTGTATCGCAAAATTCATCTCTCTKTAAAACATTTTGATCGTATACTGCAACAGTACACTAATGAACAACACAAGTGCTAATTATGCACTTTTCAATTGTTCGAAGGTCTTTAAACAAATGTTTTGTAAAAGGTGTTCGAGATAAGAGTTTTGTGCATGTATGGCTGGATTAATGAAGTTGGAAGGTTATCGTAACTGACAGGGCGTGCAAAGATGGTAATTGTTTTTCTACGCAAGACCGAGTGAATTACTCAGTGAGTATTCAGTGATCGGTGAGATATTCAGTGAGCTTTTTGTGAAGGTCTATTTCAAAACAATCAAGTATACCTTTTAGTGTACATTTGTGCAAGGTAAGTCTACAGMTTCTGGACAAAAGCACGCTTACAACAAATATATATAGTTGAGATTAATAGACCGGAATGTGTTGTTATGACAAAAGAGTCATGGGGTATCCTGAGGACTATTGAATACAATGGTCTTGGAGTTCTTCAGCAAATCTATTTTTAGATGACTTTTGATGTCGGTAACTTTGACCCAAACAAAGGTCACAGAGATGATGCACATCCCTTCCTTGTGCCCAAGTCTACAGCTACAATATCATTTAAGTAATTAGTAGCAATAAGTAGAATAGGTCTTCAGTAACGGTTGCTGCCAGTCATAATTATAGGAGTGATGGATTTATCGTGGCCGGGTTGTTGTATTTAGGAATCACAAAGAGTACAAGCAACACCTGTTAGTTTATCACAAACTAAATCAGGTGAATCTAAACAACACAGGACATACCGGCCAAACAAGACACTGTCAGTCGTRGGGGAAACACTTGTCCAGACAGGACCGCACAAATTACAAATAACAAATCAATTCAGAGGTAAGAACAACTTCAAACACAATTAGTTGTTTCAATGACTTACAAGAGTCAACAAGGGTCCTGGGAAGTGGATGGGTGACTATAGATTTGTTCATTGGGGTCATTCTAACTCGGTGGGCAAACGAAATCTCGTTGTGTGATTGGTTGAAATGGTGCGATGTAGATTTGATCTGTGAGGGGAGGTGACATGAATCGGGTCTTCACGAGAGGTGATTTTTATTATTAAATAGCTATCCACTTATATCAATATTACCTAAGAGTCGTTTTGGGTCATGGCTTACTCATTGTTTGCTTTCACGGTCAATTGCACCGCGACTTGTGATTGGTTGAACCAGACGTAAACACGTTAAGCTTACATTACGTCATCTAAAATAAAATTTGATCCCTTGTAATGCCACGTCAAGCAGATAAACGTGGTTGGTCCTTTTCACGGCGCCGACTCAGTACGAACCATCGCTAATATTGAAACATTTCAAATCGAAGCCCTGGTGCATACCTCATACTTCAAATCTAAACAGTGACAACCAGGCACGGACGTTGTCACAGGTTTGTGCCTTTGTTCTTTATCATTTTGATATTATATTGGGGAAAAAAAGTTTGACTGTCTTTGGCTAGGACGAGCAAGGAAATATACGGTAAAGGCTTTCTGATTATATCGACATAATGGCACAACTGGTCAATACAAGATATGACTTGTAATCATTGCCGTTCAACCTGGATAAACGTCTAAAATCAAAGGTTTTTGAGATCGATTTTTAGACTTTCATCCATCGGTCAACGACTGTAATTCACTATTTATAGCTGATGTTTTGATTTCTATTGAATGAATGACGCCATTGCTTTAGAATATAACAACTATAGCCAACATTCGTAAGTTCATCGTCCACAATTGTCTCGTTATCGTACAAAAGATAAAACTTCGATATAGGTTGGTATTTACTAAAATCAAATGTGGCATATAACGCGTCTTTATGGGTCTATGATCCAACTATAGTTGCTTTAAGAGCTTTGCCTTGTTAATTGCTAGTATGGCATACARTAGATTTTAACAGTAACTTTTAGCATTCAATTTTTAAACTATCTAAACTTAGCATATGTTACAATTTACGACCATAGTTTTAAACAAAAGAATTTCATTTTGCCAGTCCGTTCTTCTTGCTCATTCTTGCGTGAAAACAAAMATGGTGGACGACAAACGCCCAAAGACTGTCAAACTTATATTATAAAGATCGAAAAATCGAATAACCAAGTAATAATAGCATAAATCCTAATCGAATCAAGATTTGGAAAGGATTTCAGCAATTATTACGAGATGTAAGATTGTTTGTCGATCTGTCAGGTGGGACAGGCGGTGAGAAATAATTAATAAGGTGAAGATTATTGTTGCAAAGCTGTCTTCATACTGATACTTGTTGTCTTTCTTCACAGATAGGGCATGGGGATGTTAGGAGGCTATAAAAGCCTTCTAGCGCTATGTGTAGGATTTATAATCCTAGAATGCACGGTAAGTTTAGTTTWTTGGATGTTTTATTAATCACTGCAATTGCTGGTGTCTTTTGACATTTACTTGTAACTTAACACTAAACAAAGTTGATCGCAAATATCCAAATTATTCGTAAAAAAACTATTTACAAGTAAAAAGATTCGTTCAGATTTAAATAAAATGCTATAATAGCCTGAACAGAAACTGTCATGTCCTCACATGCAGCCTGGAAAATTGTAAAAGATCATCGTTTGAAAATTACTCTAAAAGAAGCGAATTTCTCTCTAGTGCTCTTCTGCTGTGCAGGTGTAAATGTCACCTTTCCTAGCATACGTTATCTTCCTAAGATCTACCATAAACTGATCGTAAGCAATTCTTGTCACCAAAACTYTGTGCTCGGGAAAAACAAAAGAGAATCATTATCTCAAACTTWAAACAAAAGGAATCATTAAGTTGCGTGAATAAAATTAATCATCTGTGATCACAATATCAAGTGTCTTTATATCCAATATATMGACTATGAAAATATATAGAATATCTTCAAACTTGTTATTCAACTATTTATTTTTCAATTTGTCAAAATTGTGAGATCAGTGATCACATAAGCGAAAGTCCACTCCCATTCCACTGAATTCGATTCGTGTTATTATGAACTACACAAAAAAAAATCACTAAAATCTACAGTAAGAACAAACTAATTAAAAGGGATGATTTTGAATCAAAAGATTGTATTTTTCGAATCAAGCAGTGCATGACCTGACGTCAACATGACAGCAGGTGATTGAGCGGGTAAACCAGCAATATTCTTGCTTGTTACGGTTATTTAAAACAACTTTGAATAAAAGACTGATAGACTCCTTTCTTTTTCAACGATCCACCCGTTCAAAAAATCAGGTTTCTAAAATGCTCTTTTATCAGRAAATGACAGAGTGACGCCGCCTCGTTGTCGAACGGCTGCTTGCTGTTGCATGAAATTGAATTCTGACCAAAAAGTGTGACTGACACAAACAAAAATCAATGASATTTTTCCAGTCAGTGATCTGCGTGATTTATTAAAGCCTTAAAATCTCTGTTTTTGATAAAAAAAGAACGAAGGAGAAATAAGCATAGAAGAGATGAAGTTCACCATTTGGTATATCGTCATGACAAATCTGTTTTACAAGAAGAACTTCGCTGAGTTTGTGTTATCAATTATCTTTTGAATTGAACTTTACCATCCGTGTACAATCATAAAATTCATGGGTTTACAATATCTATAAATTTTATAACGTAGTATAAATCCATTTGTTTTCAACAGACTTCACAAAGAATTCTACCCGACTGGCCGAAAATCGGTGACAGAATAACACAACCATTCCTTGACCAACTGATGGTCAGTCAGTTGTTAGAGCAGAATCTWACACTCGGATTCTTCTTGAAAGGCCTAAACGGTCCTCCGGGCCCACCAGGTGCTCCCGGTCCTCCAGGAGAGGCTGGGCCGGCAGGTATTGCTGGACCACCCGGTCCTCCAGGACATGTGGGTGAAGATGGTGCTCCTGGCGCTCCTGGTGCCCCYGGACCTCCAGGATCAGCTGGTGCTCCCGGTCTTCCTGGTGAGAAAGGAGATATTGGTGAGACTGGTGCTCCTGGTGCGGCTGGTCTACCCGGTGCTCCAGGTCTTCCAGGTCCTCAAGGTCTACCCGGAGATACGGGTTCAACGCCTGTCATGCCGGTAAGTTATCAGAAAGACTTGGTTCTCAGAAAGTTTTTGGAAATTGTTGGATGCCACTTTTACTAAACGAAAAAATCCTTTGTTCTTACAGAACTTTACAGTTATCTGCGAAGGAGAAAAGGGTTGGTTGCAATGTAAACAATACGAGCTTATCAAGGTTACAAAAGCCTTCTGGGGTCGTGACGATCACGTTACCTGTCCAAAGTTAGCAGCTGGTCTTACTAAAGACAGACTCTGCGAAGCCAACACTGAAAATACACTTCAAAAGATCAATGGCCAATGTAAGAACGAACAAGCGTGCGAAGTCGTCGCTTCAAATATTTTCTTCGATGATAACACGTGTGGTAATGTGTACAAGTACTTAAAGCTTTGGTATGAATGTATGCCTGACGAAGCGAATGCAGTTGATGTTTTGAAAGACGGGGGAAAGCGACGACGAAGGAAGCGAAAGCGTGCGACAAAGGACAAACGATCCGCAACAGAATAAATGAAGACTTTAGTTCATTTAATGAATTGTAGTCACTTTATGACGCACTCTCGAATTTTGAGTTTGCAATCCCACCAATAGCGCTTACTTTGTTGAGCTCAGTAAAGTGTACTTGACCATATGCTATGGGATACAAATACACTTTGTCAATATGTATGTATATTGGACTTTTCAACTTTAATTTGATACGGATGTATTAGTAATTAATACTCTAAGTATACGAGTCCCTCGTTCATTGGGGATTAACCTGATTTAGGTGTGAGCGTGTGACATAGGCTAGTAGGAACTCGGCCGGTTATCAATCGTTAGTTTTGTTAAGCACTGTATAATATAACGGGTTGAGCTGAGGAATTATGTATAGATATTCATGCCAATGTATTTTGGAGAGTCGGTGAGTTTGTGCTGAAATAAAATAACACTAATTAAGTTCCTTACATAATTGTCTTTGTTAAATACTGTACCGTGTATGGTCCCGGGCCGTTATAACGATGCTCTAATCCCGTATGTTTATAGATAAGAGGGTCATGGGTGCGTCATTTGTTTTTAATCAGTTCCATCTGTAATAACACTTGTAATAATACCGACAAAACATAGTAAACTATTAACTTAAATCCTGGGATTTTTGTTTGATGTGTATTTTTTTTCCATACGTGAATGTCAYGAGTTTCTTTCCCTGCAAGATCTCCCTCAAAATATTAAGCTGTCTCGAAGCTGTTGATGTTTCAGTCGCCATTTTGAGCAGGTCACGTGACCAGAAAATCTCGCTCTGCTCATGTGATTTGCTGTTACAGCAGGTTCACCATTCGCGAGAGTCGCCATCTTGAATTTTTGAATATACTCATTAGTTTTATCTTCTAGAAAGTATTGTGACGGAAATCGCATAATAAGCCAAAAGATGAGTCCTAGTTTAAACTTGCAAATTATACGATTTTTGCGGCGATTTTATGGAAAACTCAATGAAAAAGCATTCAAATCCTAACTTCGTCCCCAGGGCCATCTCGGCCGACTCCGTTTCAAGATGGCGGTCGTCGGGGAGATGACCCTGGCGTTGGCTGTAMACACGTGATCAAAACCTCCAAGATTTTTGGAGGTTTTGATCACGTGCTTTATCTATTCAAAATGGCGCTCGGAACGTGAACTCAACGGTTTCACAAACTGGGATAGCTGTGGTGGGTCGGTATTTGCTTTGTTTTGATAATTTATTTGAAAATCTCCTTCTGTCCTGCCTTCATCGGCAGTGTTACCCCTAGAACGCCTACTGGAGTAGATCCAGTTCATTCTAGAATTCTTGAGGGTTCGCACACTACAGAAATCGGCGAGTAGAAGACTGCTAAAACATCGAATGCTATCGCTAAATATATATCTGTCAAGTTAAATATCTTACACGAGTCGTTGGCATCTCAAAACCACGCATTGGACAAAAGAGACATAAGAGGGCACAACTGACAAGAATTCCAAAGAATAYTGTTGCTTTTTAATCGACAAAACGTACCTTAATTAAACTTCGGGAATATTTGAATAAAAACAATGAGCGCATCGTAAACCGATGAAAGACCTAACGGTTATCGACGATTATCCAGACATACCGACACTGTCGAACACATCCTGACATATAGACGAACATAAACAGCCAATAATGAGCGATATAAGAAAATGCATTTTGAATAASCAATCAGAAAGCGGCTTAGTTCAGCGAACGCCAGGGTCATCTCCCCGACGACCGCCATCTTGAAACGGAGTCGGCCGAGATGGCCCTGGGGACGAGGTTGTTCAAATCCACCGGGGATTTCACGGCGACATGTCGCAGGTTTTTCGCAGCCAACATGGACATGCTCAAAATTTTAATGCAAATCGACACGATGTTCACTTGAATTTTGCATGTGAAATCACAGTGAATTTCACACTCTAAAGTAAAATTCATTGGATTTTAAATTAGCACGCCAATTAGCGCGCGAGTTTATTATGTGAAATGGGATCCTTGCTATTTTGCAAAGCTTTGCCTRCCCAAACAAAATGGCGTCAAAACAGTCACTTGATCTATTGCTAGTGTAAACCGGCCTTTGTTTCCCAGGACCATCGGCTTCGTTCTTTTCTGAACATCTTTTCTGTACGCTTAGAACCAGAATATCGAAAGTGTTTCGTTCCAGATAAAGCAAAGAATTCGGAGGATTACACAATTAACAATTGCGCATAAAGCTTTATCTTTTTGAAGCTACATATGAAAATATTTCGCACCAAATATTTCCTATATATTTTAAGCAAATCCCGCCCAACTAAAGGGAATGCTGGATCATCCAATAATCGGTTCGCTATCGTTCCGTCAGCCTGTTTGACGATGTTTTTTAGTGAAAGAATAAATAATATGCACCAGTTGATTCCCATTTATTGGTTTTATTTTACTGTTTTCCATAAATTATATGTTCAAACATTTAATATAGTTACAATATTCTAGTAGTAGG